CGAATTACGCGAGATGGCTAGCATTTCCTTGCCAAAAATAGGATAGATTTTTGGTCAGCTGGTCAAAACTTGACATATTTTTTGAGCGTTGACTCGCACATAGCAAAAAAAAGAGTGATGGGTCCAAGTGCGACGTGCTAATCTTGGCGAAACTTAACAGAAATTAGGTTAATTTTTTCGGCGACATAAGCCAGACTTTTTGCTCGCGCCTTGAAAAAACGGCTGATATCTTTAAGTCCATAGAAAGTTGGCATAAATGTGGGCTTTTTGTGTGCACTTTAGCACGAAAAGTTATGTCCATTACCACAGTAACAAAAAGTATATATAGGTTGTTCCATAAATAATGTCCCTCTTCCAAGTATTTCCTCAAAGAGCAAAATTTGCCGCAGTAACAGCGATCTATTTAATCAAAATAATAATCGTCTGTTTGCGCACGCTTGGTAGAATGTACCAAGAGATTTTTTATGCCGGTAGCTTCAAAACTCCGGCTTCTGGAGCCGATGAAACTTTCAAAGGCCTTCTGAAGGGCGTCTTAATTGATGAGTTCCCTGTCACAGATGAAACGTGCTATATCCTTGAACAAATGGTATACTGTATAGACAACCCCTGACAAATACGCCGGACGAGGGAGAGTCTCGTATCTCCGTTAGTTCGGCTTTTGGAGGGCTATTTTTACAGTGCCTCTTACTATCAGGACTCCCCTAGAGGATATACTCCCGGACATATCTCTCTGACCACCCTTTAGCTGGGCTGTTAATTGAGCTACATGTTCCAAATTTTAACTGCCCTTTCAAGAAGAGGTGCAAAACATTTGGTAAAGCGGAATTTTCCATCCTTGCACTTTAACGGCAGTTTTTTCGACATTTTCAAAAAAAGGGTGGACAAAATTTTCTGATCACTTAGGTAAATTGTTCGCAACTGCCGAAAAATGTTTGCCACGGGGCTAAAACTGCTTATGCTGCATAGCACAGACGTACCGCATATATTTACGGCAAAAAATCGAGGAGTAGTAACATACGTCGCAAGGGCTTGTGCATTCTGCGCATTACGCGATTTTGTTAGTATACGACGGCTAGAGGTGGGCTAGAAGGATAAAAAACGCACAGGATTATGTAATTGATCACATATGGTCAATCTCCGTCCATCATACCGAGGGATATTAAGGATTTCATCAAGCATGTGCAAAATCATTGCAAAACTGACCAGCCGGCCGGACTTTAGCGGCCTGTAACTTTTTCAGAATCAGCCCAAACTGGTTGAAATTAAACATGGCTTAGCACTACACAATGAAGAATAAAGTTATATTAGTGCTGACCCGGCCTCATGAAATTTCGGACTGAAATTACGCGATAACGCAAACTTGAGGATTTTTTGGCAAATTCTGACCATTTTGTAATTACAAAATCGGAAAAGTTGCGTTTTTTTGGACTTTTGCGTTAGTGCGCGCACGAAATGCGAAGATAACGGGAGATTACTATCCCACGTTCTTCAGTATTCACCAAAGAGTACTGTAGGGGATTTCTAGACGGATTTAATAAAAACGCCTGCGGTTATGATCAATTATTCATAGATGGGCTACTCCTATGTGATTTTCTTAAGACGTTAATATCATATTTCACATTGCAAGGTAGTAAGATCTTGCATCACAACCTCCAATGAGTTCCTTATTACTTTTTCTGAAACAAAAAAGTCGTCCTTGCCGCATAGAGCGTGATTTTAACGAGAAAAAGAGCGCTGCAAGAATACGAGTTGCTTGAGGGCACACGCCGAATTTGGTGGTAAAAAGCATACCCATCGTCCTTGTAGGTCCCTTAACAGTGTTCAAAGATAACTGAACCATGTCGCTTACTCAAGAAGACTGAGAAAACTTTAGTTATTTTAGGTGATCAGAAAGTTTTGTCCACCGATTTTTGAAAAAACCTGCATAACTCGCCTAAGGACAGAGACACGAAAAACAATTTTATGTGGCACATTCTGTCTGTCATGACTAGTATACATGCCAAGTTTCAAAGCGATTGCGTTATATTGACTTGAGATATGGGTGGTCAGAAATTTATGTCCGGGAGTATACAATTCTCCCAAGCTCCTCAACACACTCTTCATCAAAGACAACAAAATTTACAATTGTTTAAAACCAAACAAATGAGTTTGTAAGGTACAACAGTGTAATACCTGCAATGTAATCACTGTGTACGTACGCTAAAACGGAGGATTAAACAAAAATGTGTACAAAAATGGGAAGAATTCGATAAAAAAGTCAAAGGTTAAGCCGACATCACATCAAACAGATAAACTGTTTTGATTCATTTTTTGGAAGAAAATATTTTTTTCGACAGTAAATCAGACATGGCAAAACGGGCCGGGCCGGGGACCCTTCGGGCCCCCGGCCCGGCCCCCTAGAAGTTGGGCCCGGCCCGGCCCTTTTCAAAATTTTCAAAGCCCGGCCCGGCCCGGCCCCGAGGCACCTTCGGCCCGGCCCGGCCCGGCCCTGAGGGGTCTTAAGGCCCGGCCCGGCCCGGCCCTTTTTTCATTACTCTAAATTTTGCGTTTTAATTGCTATTTTTTTTGTTTTATGATGTTACCACGAAGTTTTCGGCGTCTTACTTGATACAAGCGGCCAGTGGGTTCGATATAGGATCAATTTATGACCAATAATGATCAATAATTGGAGAATGTTTATCCAGATGTCATGGGTAATATAATTTACCCTCTCAAATGCTTTACATCGGTTTTTCCTGGAGTCTGGAGATGGATTTGGCAATCAAATGGACTGTCTGATGTTTTCAATTTACTTCCACGACCTTCTTACCTGTGATTCAATTTTCCATCTTCCAAAAAATCAAAAAATCATCGAAAATCTCAGAAATGTTAAAAAACATAACTATTATTTTTAAATCGTCAATCTTCTTGTGTTTCTGATATTCTTATTACATTTCCAACATGTCGACACTTTTTACGCCGCTCAATTCGTCCTAGCTCGGACGAAATCATCATGGATAATATCGGGGAAAACTCGAAAAATCGTCAAAAAATTAATATCAAGCTTCCGAAATAGTTCTAAGTCGCACATATTCTCATTCCCCAAGGACTGCTGGTCATTTTCCACTAAAAATTAAAATTTTGATTTTTCTACAGTAATCCATTTACTACGGTAATTCATAGTATCGTGGACGGAAAGATTTTAAAATTTGCACAGAGAATCTGCATGTCGTGAAACATAATTCCGCCAAGTTTCATCCAAATCCATCAACCGCTACCAAAGTTACTGGAGATTATAGTTTGCCAAAACTTCTCTTTTGAACCTTCAAAATCGGGTTTTCAACCCTATAGTAACTACTGGGCACATTTTGGAAACCATATCTCAAGCATAAATTGACCGATTCTTGACTTTTAAAAAGTAATTCTACTAAATCGAGTACTGCGAGCCAAGTTATGACGTTAGTTTTTGCCCTAAGGGGTCAAATATGGCCGAAAACACAATGCCAAAATATTGCCAAAATGGCGGGAAACGGTGTTTTTAATCGAGTTTGGGCGGATTTTTGTGTGTTATGGCTTTTGTATATACTCAAGATGTTATGCTTTAAATGTTGTATTTTTCACGGCAGGTTGAGGGTGTTTCATACTGAAAGTTCTAATCTCAGATTTTTAAGCAGAAAGTGGAATATCTCACCACGTTGGAACGTGAAAAACAAAACAATAACGCGAATGTGCTGCTCAGACACTTCTTCAACTATTCTAATCATGGAACCGCCAAGATCCGTTCAAAGAAAAACTTTCCCGCCATTTTGGCAATATTTTGGCATAGTGTTTTCGGCCATATTTGACCCCTTAGGGCAAAAACTAACGTCATAACTTGGCTCGCAGTACTCGAATTAGTCCAAATACTTTTTAAAAATCAAAAATCGGTCAACTTATGCCTGAGATATGGTTTCCAAAATGTGCCCAGTAGTTTACTATAAGGATGAAAAACCGATTTTGAAGGTTCAAAAAAGGTTTTGGAAAATATAATCTTCAATAACTCTGGTAGCGGTCGATGGATTTGGATGAAACTTGGCGAAAGTATAATTCACGGCATGAAAATTCTCTGTGCAAATTTTTTAATTTTTCCGTCCATCATACTATGAGTTACCGTAGTAGATGGATTACTGTAGAAAAATCAAAATTTTAATTTTTAGTGGAAAATGTCCAGCAATCCTTGGGAAATGAGAATATGTGCGACTTAGAACTATTTCCGAAGCTTGATATTGATTTTTTGACGATTTTCTAGGTTTTCCCCGATATTATCCATGATGATTTCGTCCGAGCTAGGACGAATTGAGCGGCGTAAAAAGTGTTGACATGTTGGAAATGTAATAAGAATATGAGAAACACAAGAACATTGACGATTTAAGAATAATATTCATGTTTTTTACACGTTTTTGAGATTTTTGATGATTTTTTGGAAGATGGGAAATTGAATCACAGGTAAGAAGGTCGTGAAAGTAAATTGAAAACATCAGACAGGCCATTTGATTGTCAAATCCATCGCCAGACTCCAGGAAAAACCAATGTATTGCATTTGAGAAGGTAAATTATATTATTCATGGCATCAAGATAAAAATTCTCGAATTATTCATCATTATTGGTCATAAATTGAGCCGGTTGCCCATTTATAACAAAGAACATACCAATATCCTTATGAACATACAGGTTTAAGCCAATGGAAGGTCATGGATTTGTAATGAAAAAAATATTTTAGACAAAATTAGTCGAAAAATAGTGAAACAATGTTCAAATTTGACTAAAAGTTAACTTTTAAAAACTTTTTCGATGTATTTTGTCCTTGCCAGCAAGGTTCTGAGTAGTAAATGAGGTTTTCCTGTCTTACAAACCGCTTTTCCTTCAAAAAACAAAAAATTTTTTGCTCAAAACAGAATGCCAAAAAAATTGGCACCCCAATTTTTCGTTGCAAGACAAAAAATTAAAAAAAATTTTTTTGAAGGGGCCGGGCCCAAATTTTTTCAGGCCCCACGGCCCGGCCCGAAAACCAAACCCAGGCCCCACGGCCCGGCCCCCGAGACGTTGGGCCCGGCCCGGCCCTTTTCAAAATTTCCAAAGCCCGGCCCGGCCCGGCCCGAAAGGGCCGGGCCGGGCCTGGCCGGGCCGGGCCGGCCCGGCCCCACTGCCATGTCTGCAGTAAATCCACTCTGGAGATTATCCCCGTGTTCCCTGAACATTGTTCGAAATTGAAAAAAAAAATTAGTAAACTGTGGGTGGATTAAACCAGGAGAAGTTCATATCACGCTGCGACGGCACGCTGCAGCTCTGAAATTTTGCTCGACAAGTCCACATTATTTTCCCGACAAACTGATATGGGTCTGTTGGGAAAATAATGAGCACTCCGTCGCATCGAAAATCGCATCGCCGCGAGGAAAATGAATTGTGTTGCGGCAAAACTAAATTTTTTCACTTTAGCAACACAACCGGCGCAGCCACATTGTGCTCATTATTTTCCCGACAGGAATCTTAAAATCGTCCATCATCGCTTGGCGACGGCTAGATGGAGATGTGACGAGAAAACGAGAAATTTTTTGGGCGACAAATCCACATTATTTTCCCGACAGACAGTTATGAGTCTGTCGGGAAAATAATGAGCACTCTGTCGCATCGAAAATCTCATCGCTGCCGAGAAAATAAATTGTGTCGCGGTAAAATCAATTTTTTTTCCAGTTTAGCAACGCATTGCAACGCAACCGGCGCAGCGACACTGTGCTAATTATTAATATTTTCCCAACAGAGTGATATGAGCTTGTCGGGAAAATAATGTGGCCTCGTCGCGATTTAAAATCGCCCATTCTCGCTTGGCGGCCGCTAGATTGATATTTGGTGCGCGACTGCGATGAAGCCACATTATTTTCCCGACAGACGGATATGAGTCTGTTGGGAAAATAATGAGCACTCTGTCGCATCGAAAATCGCATCGCCACAATGAATTGTATCAATGCGAAATCAATTTTTTTCCATTTCAGCGACGCGATCGGCGCAACGAAATTGCGCTCATTATTTTCCCTACAAACTGATCTTTACCCTCTCTTTTCTTTTGCCTCCCTTTTCCTGTGGCCTTTTACGACGCGGCAGGTCTTGGAAATGGCAAATTCTACAACGCGATTAATAAACAATAGGTACAAAGGAAATTTGGGAGCTAAAATTAGCAAATTCCGCAACTTTTCTTGTTTACTGGGCACTGCAAAACCCCACGTGGATCACCTGCATTCCACATAATACCCTTTCCGTGTGCGGCAGCACGAAAGGAACAGGTGCTCGTGTGTTAATGTCCTTTGTTCCTAAAAAGCTCTGAGCCGTTCTGAGTATGAGGCTACAGTAATTAGCTGCTGAATCAAAAAATTGGAAGAAAAAGAGTCGAGAACGTACGAGATGTTGTGGTAAAAAAAGTTTAAAAATTGGACCCAAGGTTACGAGAGAGAAATGGGATTTTTATGTTGCGTTTTGCCAAAATGTAAGAGATTTTGAGATCAAAGTTTAGGCGAAAATTTGAATATCAGTCTGTCGGGAAAATAATGAGCATAATTTCGATGCGCCGATCCCTCGCTGAAGTGAAAAGAAGAAATTTGACTTTGCAGCGACACAATTCATTTTTTCAGCGGTGTTGCGATTTTCTAAGCAACAGAGCGGTCATTATTTTCCCGACGGATCCATAACAGTCTGTCGGGAAAATAATGTGGATTTGCCGCCGCAAAATGTCTCGCATATCTCCAGCTAATCATCGCGAAGCGATGACACAATTTTCGATGCGACACAGTGCTCATCATTGCCCCCACGGACTGAATTTTTTTTTTGCAGGGGAATGAAGGTAGTGCTCCAAGTGCGACGCTCAGATTCTCTAAAATTTTGGGACACAGGTTGGGCATAGACCACAAATCAATTCCAGAAAATTTTAGCACGCGATTTGCTGGGACAGCCGAGACTTCAACGGGTTTTTTCGAGCGCTAAAAGCGGAGGCGGCCATGAGAGAAAATTTTTTTGGCCATATTGCTGCCAGTTTTCTGCGGAAAAAAATGTAGTTAGGATGCGACACCCGAAAAAGTTTATTGCACGGTGCAAAAAGTCGCAAATTACACAGTGCAAAATGCACTTTTTTCTCGCAGTGCATGTAGCAAAAAGTACTCTAACGATTTCGCGAACGGACTGGTACATAACTAATCACAAATTCCCGAATTTGCCTCAATTTGTGCTCTATTTATATGAACCTCCGCTTCCGTTCCAGAATCTTGGATTTACGCAAGTGATGCGGTCGAATGAAGCCGTTCCATTGCCGTCAATTAAAAGAAGTCATGACATATTTGGGATATTAATAGTTTAACTGAATTTTTAAGTTTTCCGGAGACCGCAAAGCCCGATACCGTATTTGGAGGAGCCTTAATTCTGTTTATTTATAAACCCGGTTGGTAAATAAGCGTTTCGTTTGATTTCAATGTTCTGTGACGCGAGCCTAGAACATAGAACAGTGAAGCCGAAAGCGGAGGAAAAATCAGTGTAACAAATTCATGTATGCCGTCCAGAAAGTTCGTTCGTTTTTATATTCATTATCATATTTTTACTGAAGATTATAGAGTTTCGTCGTGCGCAGCTTGCAGAGGAAGCACTCCAAGTGCGACGCTCAGATTTTGATGAATCTTGGCAAAAATTTCGATTAATTTTTTACAAGATATAGCCGAGACTTCTGGCTCGGGCTTTGCGGAAACGACCGACATTTTTAGAGAACTTTTTGGCGTACTTTAAATTTCATACCTATTTCTATCGTATAGGGCAATGTTCCACAAAAAATTAGGTTTTTCATGCAACACTGGCAAAGGCAGAGCCAAAAAGTAAGTTTATCTGACCGCACTCCCCATTTCGCGTACTGTCTCGACTTTAAAGGCCGTTCAATATCTCGACGGCGCCTGCAAATCGCGGGCTAAAACTTTCAGTCATCGAAATGTGACCCATGCTCGAGGTGTGCGCAAAATTTAAAGAAAATCTGAGCGTCACATTTCAAACACTTCCCTCGTTAATTTTGCCCTATATGTAGTTGACGCATGGGACCTGAAAAAGCTTAACGATAGCGGGGATTTCAAAAATGGCATCCATTTTTCAATATGGTACAAAGTTTCCGGAATTGATAGAACTCGATTTATAGGCGTGGCATTTTATCCCCTCCCACTTCAAAACAAATCTGTCATCTTTCACAATTTATGTTATCTGACATACTCGTCTCGAACGAACATGCCTACAAAACATAAATTGTTGTCTTCTTGCTCCCTTCGAGAGATTTCGAGACAATTTTTTTCTTGTTTGAAATTTTTCGGCGCAGAAAAACTAGTCAGACATTTTGCGAAATTGAAATCAATTTGTACCGAAAAATATTTTACAACCGGATGTGTCGAGAAAGAGCAGTGAGAAATACGGTGGCAAAGTTGAAGTTTGTCATAAAAAACGCACAACATTACGCTCCAGAATTACAGGGCTATTTCTATGACCTATATTCGAGCCTCCTGCAGTGGGGGACCTGATCCAGTGGCAAAAACCGTACCATTTTGCATCCGGGAAGCATCAAAAAATGTGCCAAAATACTTCCCTCTCCAAGTGAAAAAACTTTGTTTTGAAAGGCGCGCCCTTTTTCCTCCCAAAAGGAGCGGGCGCGCTTTTGAAATTTCCGAAGACTCATAGAGTTTCTCTAGATCCATTTCGAGCCTTAAAACTATCGAAAATCAGCAGTAAAAGTAAAAATTCGACAAATTTTGACTCCAAACGGCTTAAACCCGCATTGTCATGTCAAAAACTACAGTGGCGGATCTGATCCATTGGCAAAAAACGTATCATTTTGCATCCGGGAAGTATCAAAAAATGTAGCAAAATGCCTCCCTCTCCAAGTGAAAAAAAACTTCGATTTCAAAAGCATGCCTGCTCTTTTTGTGAGGGAAAGGGCGCGCTCTTCAAAACGGAGTTGTTTCACTTGGAGAGGGAAGCATTTTGCCACATTTTTGATGCTTCCTGGATGCAAAATGGTACTTTTTTGCCACTGGATCAGGTCCCCCCTGTAGTGCTCATTATTTTCCCGACAAGCCGATAGATTTGGACCAAGTTTTATTTGTCCCACTTGGGGTTCTTTCTATGCAGAAATTGCCGTTATTTTGTGCAGAATTCCCGTTGTTCGTCAACAAAATCTACAAAAAATATTCGTCACACATGACAAGTATAATTAAAATCTCATCGAGCAGTTCGTTTGTAATGAGATTAACTTTCACTTATTATACCTAATTTCCCAACACGATAGCAAAATTGATGACAAATAACGTACAAAGTCTTGAACTTACAATTCAATTTTCTCAACAACTCTAATGCAATATCAGCACAGGAAAACAAACAAAGCGAATGCCGCATAATTTGGTTATGAGGCTGCGTCACGCAAAAAAACTTAATCGTTAAGATATAAAGTGCAATGTACAAAAATGTGGGGAAATACAAATGGAGACACACATCATTACAAAGGAAGGACATAACCCCAAGTGAGATGGTCGGATTTTCTTTAAATTTTGGAAACATATTGGGCATGGGCTACATATCAATTCCTGGAAGTTTTAGCTCGCGCTTTCTAGGGGCAGCCGAGATATTCAACGATCTTTGCGGCTGAGAGAGTATGCGAAGCGTACAGAGCGGTTAGGGAAAATTAAAAACCCTTTTTGGCCATATTTTTTACAGTATCGTGAGGAAAAAATGATTTTTTGGGGGCTCCGGTAGTTGAGCCCCCCACGAAAGGTAGTTCAAACCCCCACTGTTTTGCCCGTTTCACACCCCACATAATGAACAAATTAGAATAATACAAAAAATGTAAGTGGGGGTTTGATCTACTACGTTGGGGGTTTGATCTAAAACGTAGAGGGCTTGACCTAAAACGTAGGGGGCTTTTTCTAAAACGGAGGGGGCTTCATCTAAAACGTAAGGGGCTTGATCTAAAACGTAGGGGGCCTGTGCTGGACCATACAACTTGGATTAATTCTTTGAAATAAATTTTGGGGTTCAGAATGGACGAGGGGGGTTGTACTGGGTTATGGGGGGCTAAACTGGACTGGGGGGCTGTACTACCTTAGCCCCATTTTTTGTGGGACATTACAACAGATTGCCACTGTTACGGAGCCGGAACCGAAATTTTGACCGTGGCAATCTCGGGACATTACTA